TCCGTATCGTTGCCGTAGGATGCAAAATGGTTGCGTAATGTGTTTCTTTACGACTTCTCATCGAAGTGGGTGGTTACGTTCTCCGTCGACCTCCTTATGGGGGTTGCTAATACGCAGGAAAATATTTATGCATTTTTTTTTGAGTATGCTTATCGTCATAAATCCTATCGTGTCGAACACAGAATTTTTTCCCAAAAATATACTCCTGTCGGATAATATTAACACTTAAACCCGCGTAAAAGGGTTGTTTTTTAAAAAAGTTTTATTGTTCGCTATAATGGTGATAATATGTTTGCTTGCGTACCACGTGACCATTGTGGTGGTCATTTTTTACCTTCTTTGTGCGATTGGCGTGCGAATTATTCGCAGATTGGATTTGATTGGGCGCCCCCAATTTGGGATTGGATTTGATTGGGCCAGATTGGGCGACACTGTGACCGTCGTTTAAACGTGAAATTGAGGCACCTACAGTCCGTATCGTTGCCGTAGGATGCAAAATGGTTCCGTAATGTGTTTCTTTACGACTTCTCATCGAAGTGGGTGGTTACGTTCTCCGTTGACCCCCTTATTGGGGTTGGTAATTTGTAGAAAATATTATGCAATTTTTTTTTGGTATGCTTATCGCTGTAAACGTTATCGTGTCGAACACAGAATTTTTTCCCAAAAATATACTTCTCTCGGATAATATTAACACTTAAACCCGCGTAAAAGGGTTGTTTTTTAAAAAAGTTTTATTGTTCGCTATAATAGTGATAATATGTTTGCTTGCGTACCACGTGACCATTGTGGTGGCCTTTTTTTACCTTCTTTGTGCCATTGGCGTGCGGACTACTCGCAGATTGGATTTGATTGGGCGTACCCAATCTAATTTATATTGGGCGATCCCAAAATAATTTTGATTGGATTTGATTGGGCATTTTTAACAGGGGGGCAATAAACAAGACAAATATTAAAAACTACGGCGCCACGTTAGGCGTTAATTTTGGGTGGCCGACTGTGCCGTTTCAACCACGTCTCAATCTCAGTCAGTGGCGGCTCGTGACTGTCTGATGTGGTGAGGCGATGATAGAAGTTTAACAACAATATCATTAATAATAATATTAATAATCAAATTAATGTGATTAATGCATATTACTTGGTCTTAATAGTTAGTAATGATAGAAGTCTTGTCCGAATACCGGTCATTTCCAGGTCACTGGTAGGTCATAATAAAAATAATATTAATAACAACACCCATAACACAATTAATCAACAATGTTTTCACAAGTCATTTTTTTTTTTAAACTAGCACTTTCTTGGAGGGGTTCGGGAATAGTTGTTGTGTTCCTTTCTAAACGTTTTAGGCCCATGAAATTTTTAATGTGTACTTTGGAACTTTCATGTAACTTTGCACATCAGATGAAATTATTTAAATCGTTATATCCCGGGACCTCGTACAAATATTACGGCAGAGCCATTTATAAGTTTCGTACCAAGTTGATTTAAAAGACTTACTGACGATTCTGTTGGTTATCAATGGAAGTTAATAAATGAATGAACGGTTTTGACTGCTCGATATTTAGCAAAATTTGCCGACGTTCTAGCTCGGTTCGCCGTGAAAACGGACTTTCAAGAAGGAACATGACGATATGGTACTCGGGATTCATTTTTCACTTATCTGTACCTATGAAAGAGACAAAAACATCAATGGTGGGTTTTTATTCACATTCATGCAAATTACCCACGCACCCCGCAGCCCTTCTGTTCTGTAAAATAAATGGGAAAATGGTTTAATGAGTACGCCGAAAATGGCCGAGAAGCACCGAAGATATCGCCTCAGTTCCGAGCGAACGCATGTATAGGGGTATAGGAGCTGAGCAATGGAAATCCGTGTCTGCGATTGGGCTTCGTTGGTTCAAGTGAACCGACGTTCTGGCCGCTTCAGTTACAAAACTAGGGGCATAAATCGTACGGTATTCAACCGAAAATGTCAGCAGAAAGCGTAAAAAATAAAAAATCATCTACAGATTTGCAATTTCAACATATTTTTGTAACTAAAAATGCATTGAAAGCTCTTTTTTAATTACAAATTAACTCAATCTGTTCTTAAGATATATGCTGTGAGGCGCCGCCTCACTTGCCTCATCTGACGAGCCGCCACTGATCTCAGTGGCGGTTGATGCAAATCAGGGTTTATCTAATCAAGATCATCACGAAAATTGTGATGTTAAAGAGTCATTTTTAATTTTTAAAGCATTCTAACATCTACGAGAACTCGTACAACTGAGGAAAACCGAGAAAAAGTAATAATTGTTATTAAGAATTCCCGAAGTTGTAGGCCACGACTGCAATAGCGCTGGCGATCGGACAGCAATGATCATCACTTCCGCATTGCCGAAGTCGGTTAATAGACCTCGAGGAAGGCACGCTTAGTGACTCACCTATTGTACTTCTACTTCTACTACTACTATACAAAATGTTTATTCTTGGTATAAAGTTTGTTATGATATATACGGTACTAATAAACTGTAAATCAGCGCCCACAGTTTATTGATTCAATGGCTTCCTGATTTAATCAGTAAAATAAATTGACCCATTCATTAATTTTTTAAGGTCACGATAACTTTAAAATATCAGCAAGATTTCAAAGCATTCGAGTTGCAGTTTCAAAATTAAATTACAAAATGTTGTTATACAATTTTAATTTTTTTTCCAAATATCTGGATGTCTCGGGTAAAAACTCGGATTCATAAACGACATTTACTATGTACATTAGTGGCCATTGAAAATTATGACACTGCATTTTGTTGTACTGATTGAAAATTTAAAAATTCGCGCAGCCTAATAAATTAGGTTTTGTATAAAATTTAACTATGTCAGTGTTAACATGTAACAACTAGTGTGGTACACCATTTTGGAGTATGTCACTGTTGACAATTTGGGTTTTGCTAAACTGCCGAGAAGAATTAATACAAAGCATTTCACATAAGTACTTGTCATTCAATGCTGTTACAATATGTGCAGAATGTTGTGTTATCAATACCTACCAAGATATTTCCTAAGCGCAATCGATTCAGCTGGTACTACAATAATAAAAATCTGCTTTACGACACTGTTTTCAGTGACGTGTAATGACATTTTAGAAACTTCAATTTTGTATGCGTTCACAAAAAGGCAAAATTTTAGATATGTCAGAGTGTAGAACTTCATTTTATCATCTACATGCTATGCATAATACAGGTATAAAATTTGACAACAATCGGTCCGGTAGTTCAGAGAAAATCTGTCTAATAAAAATCGACACAGATGGCGGACAAACAGACAGACAGACAGACGGACGGAAGGAAACGGGGAACCTATTTTTTCGTACTCTAGGGCTCATGACACTAAGCCAGTCGTCAGATGGACTCGATTACAATATTTGCTTAGCTTACGCCAGGAAAGTAAAAACTGATAGGTATATTTCAACTAGGTTTTTATAGAGTCTAGGTATCAAATTTATTGTTAGGACCGGCAGTCAGGCAAGACTTCCATCATTACGGATACTAAGACCAAGTAATGATATGCATTGATCAGATTAATAAAAAACTTTGAGATCCTAGAATTACAGCATAAAATTCGTCTGCTATTATTCTCTAATCTCACCCCATCCGCTCATTTATCTGCCCATGACTTCTGACTGACATGATCAGACAGTTCGAGAAACCTACGGACAATATGAGATGTTCCTAACAAAACAGTCTTTTGGATTTTGACAATTATTGAATCATTTAAGTGTAAATGTTTGAAATTCTCAACTAAACTATTTGGTACTACATCTACATTGGAGATAACTGAAGGTAGAATTGAAATCTTCTCAAGATTTAGCATTGCCTTCATTTCGGTTGGTAATTGTAGATATTTTGAAACTTTGGTGTGATATGTTTCCTTATAAGTATCATATCTGGTATGTTAGCTGTTTGTAGGATTATAAGTATTGTGGGATATTATATTCGGTGTTTTCAAGGAATAATGGAGATGAAATGTAAGTGTAATAGGGTCTAGTACCTACCTTGGATCAAGTTTAAATTTGTTGCTTGTCTTTGTGAATGATTTTGGCTGCGTTGTAGTGTCTAGCTTTATAGTCAGTTTGTGCCAGGATGCTACAGAATTAAGTTATGTGTTGAATCGTTTCGGTTTTTTCTTTACAAAGTCGACAGCAATCGTTTCTTATTATTATTATTCTCTGTTTGTTATTCTCTCTATAAACATCAATTTTTAGACATACGTTTGAATGTATCGTTCGGTTTATGTTCATTGAGAGTTAGTTTTTGAATAAGTTTCGAAAAATTGAAACTCAAATCTACTACAACTGCATATAGTTGAGCTGAAATTTTGACGCCGTGTCTGCCGTAGTATGCCGGATTTATGGGTGCAGGTGCATATTAATCTTCGACTGTTATTAATGTATAAATAATAGTATCCAGAAGTATAAGTATATGCCTAAAAAGTACGAAAATTTTACATTATATATATTATTTTTCTTTAAAATTCCAGATTGTTGTCGAGTTTTGACGCCTTTATTTAAAATGCACACTTTATTATGATATGTATTTGTAAATCTGCGAGCTAGTAGTCATATGTTTGTTGTTAGTGTGATAACGGGGATTTCCCACACCAAGAATAAATTGTGCGTACCTAACCGGATTGAGAGTTTCTATAAAATTAGGTAAGTACAAATGTCTCAATTTGCATCTAACAATCGAATTTTTGAATAAAAAACATTTGCGGTGAAGAAAATCACACCAAAAATAGAGGTAGACAAATTTGTAAAGGTAACCCATATGTAACTATTACATTTCAGATATTTAACTGCAATACGTATAAAATAAAAATACTAGCGTTTGTAATCTATCACCCACATCTGATAGATTTACAGCAATATTCGATTATGTAGATTTTTTTAAATAAAATTGTATGCTTTCACGTCACGAGATAACGATAATCGCCGCTATCACGAGCGTTCACTATTTGGAAAAGCCCAAAGCACAGTTCGACGATTATACTATTTTCGCATCCGATGTGTTAACAACACTACCGGTTTCTATTCTCAGAATTCGGTGTTATTGTTTTTGTTGTAGAGATGTGCACTGATTTGGATTTGAACGTAAGTAACAAATAATTAATCGCTTTGTAATTAAAATTAACGTAAACTGTTACATATGATTTTAAAGGTTGAAGCGCTGACTGTAAATATTTGTTTTATACGTGATTCCCCCGTGTATGGAAAATTTTTTTCGTGTAAAACTGTTATTTCATTTGTAAGGCTATAAATTATAGGTTTTAAACATATTTGTTACCGTTTATATGAAAATTCTTGTATGTGTGTTACACTTTGAAGACCAATTTTTTCTTTTAATCATGTAGCACAACATTAGTACATACTGTAGTTTCAAATTTTAAACAGAATTTTTTGCTAAGATTGTTTTAATTAAGGAGGTCTTTTGCCAGAAGAATGCATCTTTATCTTATAAACTTTTGATAATTAATAAATAGTAATGTTGTATGTATATTACGTCATTTGTTTTCGAGATGCAACATCAGCTTGATTTTTCTTAAATGGCTCTATCATATAATTAATGCATTTTTGAATAGAGCTTTTTTTCCGAATTCATTGAATCATACTTTCTTTCTGACTGAAGTGGCAAAATAAATTGTTAAACAATAATTAAAGAAATTAATAATTATTATTAACTGTAATTAATATTAAACAATAAATAAGTTAACCAACAACAACCGAAACTAAAATTAAACTTTTGTTTTCTACAAAAGGTGCTCAAAATGCTCTCCATTAACTTCCTGACGGCAAAAAGGACGCTGATTAAAATTTTGTAGTGAGTTAATGAGAATTTCTCGACGAGTGCTAGCAATTTCCTTACGTATGCGTTCCTGTAAGTCTTTAATGTGAATCCGTTTATTGATATAAAAGCGATTTATCAAATGGCCTCACAAAAAAAAGTCAAGAGGTCTCAAATCCGATAGCCTGGCAGGCCACTCAGTAGTACCTACTTCTTTGGCCTACCCATCTGTCAGGACAAGTTTCATCTTAAATGAACTGTTGCACTTGACGTCCAAAATGGGGTTGAGGACCGTCTTGTTGAAACGAAATAGTTTCTGCTGGTAATTCCGGATTTTGGTAACAATTCTCTAAGTCTAGGTAAATATTAAATGCACCATTTTTACAAGAAACACCTTACAGGTCAAATTAAAATTATTTTCAGAGGTAGCTATGTCATCTTTCTTTTTTATTTATCAATCTATCTATTTATTTATTTATTTATTTATTTATTTATTTTTATTTAAAATAATTTATTTTGCCATTTCAATCAGAAAGAAAGTATGATTGCGCTATAGCAATGACTTCAGAAAAAAAGCTGTATTCAAAAATGCATATGGTAGTGCCATTAAAAAAAAATCAAGTTGGCCTTGCATCTCGAAAACAAATGAAGTAAAAACAACTTTTCTTGACTAATAATTGGAGCACAGCTTTTTGTATCTCTATATCTATTTTTAGGTTATTTGTACAATTGGTTCTCAAGATATTTAACCGTTTCAATACATTCTAGCGACCCTGTATTACTGTTCAAAATCTGCACATTATTGTCCACTGTATTTATTGGAAATGAATTACGTATATCTGTAGTATAAGTTGAACAAGGAGCTACATCTTTCTGGATTGTTGTAGGTGTTTCCCTGAATTCTTTTTTCTGTATCAATGTTATTTGATAAAGCTTCCTCTATATAACCTTCTACAACACTAGTAGATCTCCATCTACCAAGCCGCTTTATGGTGGTTGTTTTCCAGCAGCAGTGACCAATAAAGTAGCTGAGATCGCCTCATACTGTGACCATTATACAACACTTGTAATTTTAAAAATGATGCGATCTTTGCAGGAATTCTTGACATTGTCTTAATGTCACTGAGCTACACAGTGCATTTCCCATTCACATATCGCACAAAAAAAAAACGCAAGTATCACCTACAGCTTTCAGCAACATTGATTGAAAAACCTTTGTCATTTTGTGTTCGTAGTCGGAATTTTAACCCATATATACAATCTATATACCCTTTATTCTCTAAATCTTCATTCTTCAGATTTGTCAGTTCGCTGCAGCGACAAGCCCCAGAAATACCCATTATTATCAGTGCAACCTAGATAAATGCAAAACAAATATTACACTTATGTACAGTTGCGGCCCCCCAAAAGTGCACGATAATTTTCTCTATTGTAAATGTATCTTCAAATCATGGGCGCTCGAACTACAAAATTTGTCAAATTTGGCATTTAGTTTATTCAAAAATGCTGCGGCACTGATAATAGCCAGACTTACATTAATTTAAAAATTCAAAAAATTCCATGACAACGAAAAATCGTGCATTTTTGGGGGGCCGCAACTGTATATACAAGAAAAAAATAGTTACCTTCGTCATTAAATCTTCATCGTCTGACACTGTGTTCAAAAACTGCTGACATTGTTTTCTTTCTAGAATTTTTGCCTTCTTCGGTTTATACAGCCTAGATTCACTTTTCAAGGAAGTGATCAGCTGGTTGTATTTTCCGATATCTATGTTTCTATGTTCCTTTAGCATTAATTTAAGTGTGGAAAATTTTGTATACATCGATGAACAGATAATTTTCAGAAAATGTTCCCACAATACTATATTACTCTTGTATCCTCTTTTTTACCCTTCAGAGGTCAAATTCAGCCATTTCCTTTTCGTTGGAAGATCCTCGTTTTGTCCCATTTTTATAAACGGAAAAACAGTTTCATTAAATTCACGTTTTGTTTTTGAAATATTTTAACAGTAAACAGAACAGCGCTATAGCAACCACTCGGCAGCACGCAGATTTGCTTTAAATAAATTAAAAAATTAAGGAAATATTATATGAATTTTAAAAATTTACGTGAAGAGTATATTAGATCACTACTGACTTAGATTTTGAGTTTTGATAAAATATTGTACAACAATTAGTATGTTTCAATCTGTAAACTTTGGAAATCTAGGTAGGATGTCACACAGTTCGGAGCTTTAAAAGAAAAAAGAATAATTTAGTTTTCAATGTACCCATCATTTAAGTTTTGATTTTTATATGTCGATACTTTTATTTTGGTAATTAAAACGAATATTGCAAATAATACTTAGTCTTAAGTCTGAAAAATCTTCAGCGGCTTACTAGCCTAAGATCTCACACGTTTATTTTTTTCTTTTGTATTCTATTATCCATTGTGTTGTTATGTAATTTTAAATTTCTACAAGTACACGTTAATAAAAAAGAAAATAAAAATAAACTACCGAACGCGAAAAGGCACAATTTTATTAAAGTTTATTTTAAAACATATCTCACAATATATTTATACAGTTTAATTTCTGTTATTTGTGCGCATACTTAATTAAACAACAAAAATAATTGTGATGTTTCAGTTACGGATTGTAAGAAATCATTTATTTCGATTCACAAACTCAGATTCTTTTACATTACACAAAACATTGCATCATAATATTTTGATTCAAAGAATGAATACTTATGGGGAACTATTCCCAGTGTTATATTTTTATTATTTTTCGCATTGATTTAAAAGCATGGTACAAATAGAAAACCTTTATAATAAAGTCCATTTATAAACATGACGAAAGTGATCGTAGTACTTCTGGTATGAGTGTAAGTAATGGAAACTTGACATAAAATTTTTCGAGTAAATTCAAATTGCAAATACATACCTTTATAACATTTGTAACTATAGAAAGATAGAATACATGTTTCTCCATTACTAGTCGTAGCATTATTGAAAATGTATTTATACGAAAAGGTTGTCATGTAAAGTTCGCCCAAAGATATAGAGTTTTTATGACTTTGACTTTATAAGTATTTTACAGCGTATTTCCCTTAAAATTCAATAAATGCAAGCAGTGACACTTTACATAGACAGTTAGGTAAGCCACGTGCCGTGTTGACATTATTTGTTAGTCGTATAATAGGCGACGGTTTGCGGATTTACTGTGACGAACTCATAAAACTTACCGCAAAGTGAGTACCATAACCACACTATTTTTCGCCGAACTTTAACTGAATATAAAGTTCGTGTTGTTATATTTTGAAAATAATAATTTAAGATTATTAAAATTATTATGTTTATTAATATTAGTTCCAATGAAAATTCAATATATTTAATTATCAAAATGTTTATTCTACTCTCAAATTATTTTCTAATATCTTCAACAATTTTTGTACTTACAGTTGCACGCTCTCAATAAAACTGTTTCTCCTGTTTGTTACTAGATATGAAAGTTGAAACTCTTATAAATTTGTAAGTAGAAAGTAAAACAAAAATTTTAGTTGCGTCTGATAATGGATGTTAGATATTCGAAACAGTTACACTGTAAATAGATATAAGAAATAGGGAAAAGTGGTTTTGTTCCCAATATACTTCCCAGTAAATAACGATGGGCACTTTCATCTCCGTTGATTAAACAAATCAGAAATGTTTCGTTGTTATTTTGAAATTTTGGCATTTTATGGAATGTTTTTAAATCTTGAGTTTGTAGAGTTTTATTTTTGTAAAAATTGTTCAATGACATCCTCTGCTTAAAGTAACCAAAATTAATACGACGTATTTAAATAGGTATAAGAATAGCATACTTTTTATGAATTCGCATTACAAATACATGACTTGTTATTTATAGAAAAAATATGTATGTTATCTAAATATCTTATCTTAGTGTATGATTTAATGTAATTTTGGGAAAAATACGCGGAAACGAGTTACAATTTTCTGCGCATTTTGTTTGTTTTGAGTGTGATAAAAATTTAAGTTTAAATTTTTTCTCCTATGTATGGTCGATTTAATGTGAATGTAATAACGTAATTAAATGGACTGTTAATTAACAAACTTGTCGTTTAATCGCTTAAAATGTATTCTAGCATGAAACATGAACGCTAATTGTTTGCGAACAACAGTTCTTTCTTTTTGATTTACTTTGTCGCCTGTTTTTGTTCATAGACAAGTTTCTGTTGATCCTGTTGCTGGATAAATGTTTATAGTTTAGCGGCATTGCTAGGCGACAAACATTGTTCGTCAACACGATTGACATTTGCGTTTTATTAATAGAGTGTTACTTTACAGGTCTTAGACTGGGATTTCTTGCAAAATTTAAATTATACAGACTTCGACATGGGTAAGTCCATGAATCACCAGTTTGTTTAATTTTTTAAAATAGATATTATAGATGGAATAATAAACGAAATTCAAAATCCCCATCCTAAACCAATGGATCAGTGGGAAAACCAAGAAGTATTAGACTTTATCTTAAGGGAAATTTCCATGAAGTTCACAGATGTGAACCACAACCACCTCGAACGTTTTCGATGTATATCTGGCTTCATTTTTAAAAATTTGTCAGAAGAGAATTGCAAGCTGTTATCGAATTCTCAATACATAGGGGAAATGATTTTCGATGCAAAAGAAAAATATGTTCGATGCCATCCGACAGAATGTAAGATTTAGCGTAGATTTGGATCGACCTTTCGCAATATTTTCATTATTAGTGATGTTTATCAACTTGCCATTATCTGACGCAGATACAATTATAAATCCATTCAATTAGATGATAAACCAAAATATGTTGTGGCAGGTTATACTAAAAATCGTTTCCTCATTTATTTTTGCAAAGATAATAACATTTCCGTCAACGTAATAGCAATTAGTGATTTACTTCATGATGACGATTTTTAGGTTTTATCGACGGCAATAATTACTTCCATGAGGCCAACAATGAAAACTCTTCAGTTTTCAGTAATTTTAGTAAAGTACCTTCGACTAGTGAAAGTCTTGATACTTTATCAAGATCCAGCAAGAAACCAGGGCGGCCTAGATGCAAACCCTTTTCAGATAAAAATGGTGAGTAAAGTAATAACGCATTTCCCATTTTCCATTTTCGTCTGACCTTTAAATCTGATTTAATTGTGGCTATTGCGGTTTACTTTTATAATCAGAGAAAATATCAGAGTTTAAACATTTATGTCATCGTCTTGTCTTACTTGGTTGCCTAGCTTAATCTGTATAGAGATTTAATAATGGGTGTCAAATATAAACAGGAAGTTACAAATGTTTGGACAACAACGTTGCAAAACATGAGAGGTAACGCAAAAAATATGCACATAATTTCTTTCGTTATTTTTTAACGCCTTTTATTATTTTAAAAAGAAAACATTCGTTCATTGATAAGTTGATAACTTAAATATTCTTAATTTGGATTGATAAAATAGTGAATGATTATAGAAATTATTTCCACTTGAAATTTCGTATAAGTACTTACTTACTCATGCCCCCTGTGCATGCAGTTTTTACAAGACTACAATCATATGTCAGATAACTATTTTCATCTAAATATAACCTTGTTTATTCTATCAAAAAGTACCACGACTTACGACTACTATTATAGCATGTTTAATTATTATATAAAAAATTAAAAAATCTTAATGCTTTGCTGTGCTGTGTTTTCGCAACATTAGACATGAGTTTTCGTTTTGATTAACATTTTCACACATCCCCAGACGCTGATACCGATAAACAAATAGAATCCAAGAAAACTGAAGTTCAAGGTTCAGATAAAGTTTTGCCGACGATTTTTGTTTACTGATTGTCTGTATTTTCTAGACACCCACACCAAGTTCAGCTGTAATACAATACATTACGTTCTTTTTAGGGAAGCGATCAGAAAAACTTTGGGAATTCCTACTGCATCTGTTACGCGATAATAAAACCTGTCCACAACTCATAAAGTGGGAAAATTTTGAAGAAGGGACGTTCAAGTTCGTCCAAAGTAATAAAGTTGCCCGTTTGTGGGGAAACAGAAAGAAAAATGAAAATATGACGTACGAGAAATTCAGTAGGGCCATGAGGTAAGTGAAGCGTCTAAAATTCTGCGCCGGTTCTGTTCCGCTGAATGAGCTGCTGGCAGATCTTGTCGGAAAGATAATGAAAAAGCTAACTGGGCATTTAAGTTTCATAAGAATGCCGTTGTTATAATTCAGTAATGGGGTGTTGATAATTGGTCCTATAGGACGAATGAGAATTTTGTTTTTTTGACTACAATGCATGATTTTATTTTACTCGAACCTTAAATTTTATTTTTTCTTCTGATGCATTAAATAAAAGTATAAAGAACAACTTTAGAGGAAAAAAATAAATTGTCGTTTGACGTTTGACGAATGTCAATACCAATGCTAACATCTACACCAAATTTTAATAAATTAAAACACACCTATAAACACTGTCATGTTTACATTTTTTTGTTTGCGAAATTAAATACCGAAATCAGACAATGAACACCCGCTATTTCACTGTTTATTATTGACGGTTCTGCAATATTTGTTCTATATTTACAACGTTTGTTCTGCTTATTTGTTTATATACGTTTCCCTCATTAACCTCTCTGATACGCAACTTCGTACACAAGGTTCGATTTGGAAAGCAATAATAAAGCACAAAAAGCAATTAAGTGCAGAAAGTCACTTAAGTTAATAAATTATTTGCTACTGCGAAAGCGAACGTGTTCAACATTCCCTAGTTTTTGTAACTACTATAACCATGAACATGGTTAATATTTTTGTAGAAATTTTAACTGAAGGACAAAGGAGATTTCATGATAAAATTTTGTGATCAGGGCTTGTCGTCTTGATATATCAACCATTATGCCTACTAAAAAAAAAGCCCTTTTCTATTTTATTATTCTATACTGTTGTATATGTTGACATTTGACAGAGTTATTGAAAAGTTAGTGTTAGCTTTATTGTAGACATATTTCACAAAGTTTACAAAAAATCAAGGCCACTTTTATGATATTTTTAGTTGACCACTAATAAATTATATAAGAAGTAATTTTAATTTTGACTTTGGTTTTCAGATACTACTACAAAAGTAAAGTACTATTACCTGTTCCTGGAAAACGGCTCGTGTATAAATTTGGACCTCAAGCCAAAGGGTGGAAAAATGTAATTCCAATCAGTTAAACATTAATATTTACTCAATTATCTATAGGTTTATTTAAATATAGTTAAGCATTATCAGTGTTTTATAAGTTTTACATTGTAAGTTTTATAATAAAAAATCTCATGAATGTTAAGTACAATTTATTTCACATGATATGTACATAAAATTTAACTACTTTCATAAATTATAAGTGTAGGTACAAATATTAAAATCTTTGGTGAATCTAATCTCTGAAGTATCAGACTGAGTATTTTTGTGCGAATAATAGTTGTTCAAAGTATCACACCAAAATATAATCAAAAACGATTAATAACAAAGTATTTCATCTCAAAGGTTTGATAGCTTATTTCGAAACTGTTGTGCGATATAAAAAGAAATGTGACAGACATTATATAACAACGCTTTTTAGGGTCACTACAGGATGTTTTTGAAATATATGTACAAAAAAAAAAAACTGGTAATGGGTCTTGATGAGTACACCCCAAAAATAAAAAAACTTCTAATGAAAGTCTTCTCGTTTTTGATACGAAAATCATTGAAATTGCATTGAAAAGTTGTTGTGTGCCACTGAGTTAAGGCGGTTAAATGATAGTTCTTTAGTAATTAAGCAAAAGTTTGGTCAGGCATCAATGGAACAAGGCCTTCACGTCTACCATGTTCTCTGGGTTTAGGCTTTGAAACCAGAAGATCCACTCCGATGAGTAAGATTTTGTGAGAAGTTACTTCAAAAAAATAGAGATGAACCACACTTTGTAGAAAAAATCTACAGATGAAACAATTTTTACGCGAGACGGTTTTTTCAGTGCCCATAATAGTCATATCTGAAACCCCATATGCGATTCATGGGATACATTTTTAGAACTAAGCTTTAATGTATGGGCAGGACTGATTGGTAACAAATTAATAGATCCAAATGTTTGCCACTTCGATTGAGAGCTGCCGCATATTTGGAAGTTTGAAACACAAATTTAAGAGACCTCCTGAATGATGTTCCCTTAGCGACTCGCTGAGATATGTGGAAGTATCCAGGGAGATGGATTGGAAGAAATGGACCCGTGCGGTGGCCGCCTAGCTCCCCTGACCTTAACCCATGCAATTTTTTCATGAGGGACCGCATGAAACCGTTAGTATATCAAACTCCGGTCAACACACTTGAAGATTTGACAAATCGGATTGAAGTGGTTTTTGCACAAATACGGGTAATCCGGACATGATAAACAAGACACAGCTGCGGCCTGTCTGGCAAACGGCACGTTGAAAATTGAATTTAATTTTTGTTTGACATTTGTTGAAGTTAGAATATGATTTATTTATGTTTTTATGAGTTTGATTTTTCGGTTTCCGACGAATTTAAAGTTCTTTATTTTTATCTGCGTTGTTTAAGAAAAGTTTTTTAAATACGTTTGCCGATTTGAGTATTATTGGAATAACAAAAGGTTTTGCTGTTCACTCAAGATAAAAAAAACAGACATCTGGAAAAGCCTTCCAAATTAACAACTGCACAACCTATAACTGTTAGACTATTACGATGAACCTACCTATTTTTCTGGTAAATTTTGCAATAATTCATTAGATATAACAATTTTTTTTGGCATTTTACTTGTCATTATCGTTGTCACTGGGATTGTTGTGGTTTTGTGGTTGCCGAAATTTATAAAAGTAAGTCGCGACCATAGAAAACTGGACCACTTTGACGTAACAAACTTTTAGTTGGACAGTGACTTTGTTACAATTATTTGATTTGTCAAACAAAACAATTAAACCCTATTATATTTTTTTTTTATTTGGAAATATGTGTCAAACCTAGTGCTCCAGTTTTCTTTGGCCACGACTGTACATACATTAACTGTACCTGGTGATTCATCAGTGGTGTTATCAGGAAAATTTTCAGACCTCTAAGGCTCACTAGACGCCTCAAATTTTTTGTATATGTATTTCAAAAACACCTTGTATAATATTTTTTTGCAAATAGGAGCATTCTTTTTTAAATTATGAGTACCTAAACAAGATGAAATTTATAAACCTCTAATTTTTTACGATATCTGAAACATTTTAAATTACAGCTGCATAGTTGGAACTATCATTTTTGCACTCAACACAAAAGTTGTTTTTATTTCCAGCGAAACTGGAAGTGTAACGCTTCCCTATGTGGCTAGTTTTCTTGAAGTAATTTAATCGATCAGTGGAGATGAAACACCCTGTGTATTTACTGACAGTTGTGTAAAGATTTGAAATTTCTTACTTCTCATTATTGACATAAGAATATTGTCATTCACGTTTTCACCGACTGATTTGTGCATTTTAATTTTAATTACAATCTTAACAATCTAAATCAATTAATAACACATGCATTGCTTTGAAACCTATGCCTGTTCGCAGCTCCAAATCCTGAACAACACTGATGTTGATGATGGTGGTGATGGTGAGATTTGTTTAAGTGCTGATTGTGACTATTCGACAAATTATTAACTAAAGATTTCTTCCCCTGCAAGTCTCCTTCACTTTTCGAAACCGGAATTTCTCTGTTGTTCACGCACTTTTCGTTTCTCTTGTTGTTATCGAATTTCTTCGCGTAATCGTACATGGATTTACCAAATTCGTACTGTTGGTTATTGTCTTTGTCTTTATTTTCGGTTGTGGTTTCCTTTGGCTGAGGTTTTAAAGCTTTATCCAGGTGGTTCGATAGCAGGATAGCTGGTGGTGACGTCAGAGGTGATCCTTGCGCTACTAGACTGACTTCCTGGGAAAAGGTCTTTTTGCTTTGTGGTGTCGGAACGCTCGTGCGTTTCTGAAGTTGACAGGATAGTTTATCGCTATCTTCTTTGATTGGTGAATTGTCGAGAATTATGGAACCGAATATGTCAGCAGGATCACACATTCCATAGACTGCTCCCGCTGAATTGGATCGCAACTCTAGACAGAAAAAATGTTTGTTTGAATAGATTGAGAAAATCTGGATGATATATTAGTGAAAATGTTGGATGAATGTTAAGAGATATTATTGTAAGAAAAGTTAACTATTAAACTCGAAACTCTTTAAAACGCTGCAGTTTTTGTTAATAGTCTTAATAGCTTCTTCACACAACAAACTCACTTGTAGTGGTAGTAAATTTCTCCATTAAACAAGTTGAGAGACCTACGAAAAAAGCTAGGTACACCATTGTAGTATCTTAAGCTAATCTAAATAGTGTAAACACGTCAAAAATTGATATTCTGTTAAACGTAGAAATTATTTCATTTGTAGTATCTATATATAACAGATATATTTTATCTAAAGCAGTTTTAGTGTTAGGACTGTTATCTATATAACTCCTATTCAAGGAATTGAATGGAGTATTAAGTAGTTAAAAGTTTAAGGAGCGGTTAATTAATATAATCTTTGTTTATTAAAGATTCTGTCTAACTTATCAGCATTTTTTGTAATTGTTTAGCTATCTGTAAAAAACTTAGAAATATAATTGCGTTTAACCTTGGAGATTTCTGAATGAACACACAAAACCGATAACAAATTCTTGGTTCGACGTAATATTATTTTTTTAAATTCAATTTCAATACGGTTCAATAATAATAATGATTGTTGAAGATAATAGTTTGTTTACCATAATCCATTTAACATATACCCTGAAAAACGAAACAAAACCAACAAAAAAAAGAATATAAACTTTGATAACAATATTATCTAAACGGCAGAAAATATAGGTATCCGACCTGTCAACTTAAATTGACTAAACTCAGCCCAATTTAAGACATTTACGCTAGCGAACAAGACCAAGGACAACTCCTGTTGGACAAGCAACAAGTTGTTTGATCTAATATAATGTTGTCTTTTGCGACACGATTTTTTTTTTAATTTTAAAACATCTTCAGTTCTTGAGGCTGCAGTAGTTAGTAGGTCAGCCGCAGACAAGAGATATGCTTTCATAAGTGTTTAGCAGCAATGAAAAGTGTATGGTAATAGTGGAACTCCATTACAGTTGTTTCTCTCTTCGGTACAACAAATCCAGATACTCGAAAAATTGTAAAATTTGATTTTACGAATTTTATTTTGTATGTTAACCCTTATAAGTTAAACAAAAATTTATTTTTGTGCTAGGAAGCGAAGACCGTGAAAATGGTTTATTCTGTTAAACAAGACACTTTCATTGTTATGTCTTACAATCGCAATGGGACATTCGAAAATGAAGAGTGGGTGTATTCTGGAACCGCGTGTAAGCAAGAATATCGGGCCAAATACCGTGATTTGATAATTCAAGAAACATCGTTAGAGGCTCACATTAAAGATGTAATCAACAGACTTGTTCGGACTGGTAGTGTCGACAACGAGAAATCTCCTGGAAGACCTTCAGTATCTGAGCAAGTTGTTGATGATTTGAGACGACTTGGAAAGAATCTGCATCTTTGACAAGATTTCCTCAGAAGTCAGGAGTTCATGTTGCAACATGAAATTGAACAATGGGACCAAAGTATTTACGAAAGGATCTTATAGAACATTAATGAAATTAAAAAGAGAGTGAACATGTGCCTTGAACAAAATGGTTTTTAACATTTACTGTGATGTCTAACCGCATTAAATTTATTTAATGAATTAGTTTTATTTATGAAGCATATAGGCAACCAGTTATACAGATGCGTGTCGTATTTGTCGTGAATCTTTGGGCGTTGTAAAGTCCAAAAGTGAAAGGCGGCACGTTTTCATGACCTATTTTGACCCTACAATCATTTATAGAAACCCTGTTTATGGCAATGGATACGCGCAAGTAAAAAAATATGGATTTAATAATAGATAAAGGAACAGTCACAGTTATTAAATTTTTGGTGAGGTTAGGAAAGAACAAAAAATTTTTGGTTAACGTTTTATCATTTACAAGATAAATATAAAGTATTCGTAGAATTTCATTTCATCAGTCCAATAGTTTCGGCGATTATCTGTTTAATAAAATCGCCAACAGACAGACAGGCAACGATGATGGAATAGTGGATAATAAATCATAGAGATAAATAAGAAACAAACGGAAATGATAAACTCACATTTTTGTATTCTATAGATAAACTCGGAAACGTCGAGAAAACATGAAATTAAACATTCCTCGAAATGGTCATATTGCCATATTGTCGCAGCTTACACCCGAGTATTAAAATGTGTAAATAGTGTAATTTATTCACATGACACTTTAAAACTCAAAAAATTTGTAAAGATGTGGGTTTTTTGTTTAATTCTTAGACTCCTCCAGATGAGCTCATCAACACTGTGTTGTCATTTTATATTAATTGAAACCATTGCTGCATGTATGGTAGATTTGATAATTACATCATTTGGTGTTTGACAAGCTTGATAACAGGTATAAGTGACACCCTTATTGCTACGCTAAATTAAAATGTGGCGAAATCCACGCCCCTAAGTGTGGCCCATATTACGCAAATCCCTTGATACTCTTGACATGAATGACTTTTTTCATTAGTAAGTTTTGTCTGCGGCTTTAATTTGTTTTTTGTTTGTTCTCATATATTGTTGTTAAGTATTTCCTTGTTAAAATACATACACGCAAATAATATTCATTAAATAAAAAAATATGTAAATTATTTACACTGTACGGCGAGACATCATACTAACCATGCATCAAATGGACCTATACGATATGTATGTACCATTAATATGAAACCCTAGCTTATGCTTATACGAGAATAATTTATGCAACAAGTGTAAAAAGTGATCGTTTATTGCACGCAACGTGCAAATGGTCCTGCGAGGCCGTAGGCCATATATTAGTAAGTGCAATATCACTTTTTGCACGTGTTGCACACAACACTGTTTCTACGATCGTTTTAGATAACTCATTTTTTTGAGAATATTATACCTTCATTTTTGTCGAAATTAGATAAACAACTTTATTTGATGATACATAGCAGGAAAGACAACTTATTATGTATTACATATTGTCTTTTCTTATGGGAATAAAATATGTATAATAATTGCATATGAAGATTTAACAATAACATTAAATTCAAGATACCCATTCAAAATAAACGAAACATTTAAATATTGTGGGAGAAAGCGAGTATTATTATTTGGCAAAATTGACACAGTGCTAGACTTCAACAACCCATTATACCATATCAACAAAATAAAATTTGATAAATAATTTTAAAAATTAGACGCCAACTGGTGTCAATCGTTGTATTCGTCGTTAACAATAATCTTATTTATTGCATAGTGCAAAAAATATATACCTAAATAATGTGTTCAGAGTATCTAGTTTTAACACATGTGTAGTTACAAATTGTTTTTATCTCAGTTGTTGGTTTTGGTTTGAGGTGACGTGTTTCCTTAAACTTTTGGATTATGCGGTATTAAAAACAGAAATTACATTGCTCGTTCCAATTAACTACGATTTTTTTCTAAATTGAAAAATGAAATATGCAATTATTTTTTTATTCTTTCGTTTTCTGTAAATGAAAATAAAATTGTTATTATTAAAAATTAAGGGAACAGCAGTAATCTATTTTTCCTGAAATCCTCAAGAAACTTACATTTTCACGCTTGTTTTGAATCTTGAAGTTGAGCATTACCGTCGAGCAGCAAGATTTTGCTCCACTCTTTCCTTATAGCACCAATCAGAAAAACTTGATAGGTCTTTTCACATCTTTCCGTAGCCTCGATTACATCACATCATTTTTTTTATTTTTACCAAACTATAAGATTCGCTGATAAATGACGGAAAAACAAAACGTAGCCATCCCGCTGCCGGAGCTCTTTATGCAGGTAGTTGACTGGCTGCAAGTTATAAATTACTGTATCGGATGGAACTGCCCAATTTTGCATTTTGCACCATCTCGAGATTATATGTGTCAACAACGCCCAGTCGAAGATGAAATTATATTTTTGTAATATCTGAACTAAAAACATTTTATTTTCCTTTACATTTAGGTCACAAGGGGCCGCTTAACTTTGGAGGCCTGATGCTCCTGCATCCCTATAAAACTGCTTCTGTCCGGACGCCCCACAAATACGGACAATGTAAAATCTATTTACAGCAGATAACCAACAAGAAAATTGGCCTCACATCAATGTGAAGTGTTCCTGTTTATACATCGGAAGAATGTCACGTAGAAATTTATTCGATTTGAATGAGTTTATCGCCTCAAAAGCTTCAATCGAACAAAACGTTCTGAATATTATTATTACAATTCACATTTTGGAGAAAATGGGGTGACTCGTTCGTAATTTGATCAATAAAAAATGGGAGAGTGATTAACTTTAGTGAGTGATTATTAAATTTATTTTATCTAATGAAAAAAAGAGGTCCCGTTAACCCTGAGCTGCGCCGGCTGTAACGATGTCCGTACTATGCTGCTAACACAGAATGCGATTAAACAAATATATCAATAATAAACAAAATCAAGATAAGATTCGTAAACCACAAGTATTACAAGAGTATATTATTTCATACAAAACCGGTTATGTTAATTATGCTATATAATGAATCGACGTCATCAAATTGTTGGTGGAGGTGATTAGCCAAATTTTGGATAGCGTTTTATCATTTACATGATATTTCCAACAATCAAAATTTGACAGCAGGTTCAAAGATGATCTGTCTAATAAAAATCTGGACAGACGGCTGACAGACAGACAAACGGAAAGGAAGACCTGTTTCTTCGTACTCTAGGGGTCATGAAAGGTCGAGAAAACATATGTGTAGAGAGTCGACCGATGGACTCGATTGCAATACTTCCTTAGCTTACGTTGGAAAGTAAAAATAATGCCGGAAAAAAAACATTGTGTACAATTTTTAATTGCTGAAATCATCTAATAGGATCTTGTTAACACCGCAGACTCAAATTTGTTACAAAATTTTTATTCCATCAATAAGTTAAAATATGAAAGATGCAAAATACGTTCACATACTTAAATCCAAGTATTTAAAGGTCTTTTTTTCGGGAAAGTAGTTAGTAGAGCACAACCAAAATGTGTACAGATTCATTATCGTCTATTACATTTGTCGTTTGGATTTCACTGTTTCATTCAGTTGTTTGTGCTTGCAAGTTTGCATCATGTCACTTGTTGTTTTACCTCCCGGGCATAAGCTAAGAAACTACTGTAAAACGTTTCAAGACCCCTAGAGCACGAAACAGTAGGTCTCGCGTTTCCGCCTCTCTGTCGTCTGTCTGTCAGTCTGTCTGCCGTCTATTGTCTGTCAATTTTTATTAGACAGATAATCTCCTGGACTCATTGTCATCAAATTTTATAGGAGTATCATGTAGATGATTAACTTATTATTATTATTAATTATTAAAAATGAATCATCTCGAAAATTTACAACAGTAAATGTTATTTAAATTTTTTAGAAGAAAAATACTCTTGAATGAATTATATGAATTCGTGTTGAGTCTTTAACTTAGACATTTAGATTTTTCCATAAAAGTTGATGAATGAGGCAATCTGTTTTATTGATCAAATCAAGAACGGTTCAACCCGTTTTCTAGAAAATTTGAATAAACAATACTGTTGCGTACTGGTCTTATGAGTTCACTGCACCTATTCCAATTGAAATATGTGTCCTTGATAACATATTGATGGCGTCATTACAACATTGTAGAAAAACTCACTTGAAACATACACATAGCACGCTCCTTTACCTATACTTTAACAGTACGTACATATCTATATTTCCAAAATTAAATTTTTTAATTTTTCGAAAATTCTGTATTTTGTGCGTCTGCATTTCACGAACGAATGACGTTATGTCTACGTAACTTGAGACCAGCTTTTGACATATCGTGTCGATATAAATGCTGACATACGTTTCAGTGACAAAAGACAATCAACAGGTAAGTAACTCGAAAGTTTTTTTATCGCTCGTTATATATATACGTACAAAGACACATAAGCTATACATGCTTCTTTGTTCGATATTTTTAAAAGAATTGTTTATAAAGTCATAATTCATCCCTTTAAACTTTGTCTGCTTATAAATGTTTAATTAGTTATTTAATCAGACAGTTAATCACTTGAAATTAGCAAAAATTTTTTAAGCCTGAATATTTTTTATTTTTATTTTTAATAATTTAAATATTCAAAGCTACATGTCATCGACAGGTTCTTTCTGGTAACAATCGCTGCACTGAAATAAATTACATCAGATAAGTTGCTGTTAAGAAGTAATTATTTATATCTCTGTCTGTACCAATATTACTTCGCCAGATTAGCGCTATGGAAAATCAATAAAGTTTCTCCCTTTCTAACACAATTTAAATTTGAATTTTTAATAAACTGAAAATTCCGATCGCATTCCAAATTCAGCAAGCATTTAATGTACCAACTATTGAACATTCCGAAAATTCATGAGCCTCTTTATTTTAGAAAAGTAATTGGATTTTTAGATAACACGTTCTCTGCACCATAAAAAAAAATAATCGAAAGAAAAGAGCCACAGAATCTACATCTAACTGACACTTTTTTACTCACCTCTTGTACTCTGCGAATGTTTAACCGGAGAACTTGCTATACTCCTCCGAGCCACATCTTGAAATGTGATGGGAGAGTAAACGACACTTCTTCGGTCCTCCGCATGAATGTTCGACTTAAATTCCCTATTATCTAAAGGATCGATCTCCTGTTGTACTAATGGTGCTGTTTCTCGACGATCTATTGGGGTTCTCGATTCTTTTCCTTGCAACCAATACGTCTTCATGTGACCTGTATATGTCTGCATAAATACAAGCAAAACAAAATTAAAAACCTCCAACCTTTTCCTTTAACTTGAATTTCTCCCCTTTCTAACACTTTATACGTATCGGGAAGGAGCTTTCTCGTGTATTCCGAAATGTGGATCATCATAGCTTCACTTGTAGACTCCATTCGAGATGCTGTATTCACGCTATCACCGAATAAACAATATCTAGGCATTTTTAGACCTACAATTCCTGCCACCACAGCCCCAGAGTGAACGCCAACGCGTATCCGCAAATGTTGTCCTAACAAATAAAAGAAAATGTTATTGAGAAAATAGTTACATGAATGTTTAACCTGTAGAGGGATCTTTGAGGTCCTGTATGGCATCTACCATATCTAAAGCCATATCACATACTCTCTCGGCATGATTGCCTTCTTTTTCAGGAGCTCCAGACACTACCATATAGGCGTCTCCGATAGTTTCCACCTAATACGCATATTTAAATTTTTTTTTATTGAGAACAAAATATAGAAAGATCAAAGCATATAGAACACAATACAACACAGGATGGTAAGTTAATTACGGTAGAAATGTACAAAGGAAGATATATTTTCTGTTAAGACGGTGAATACGTGGACAGAATTTATAGGTCAAATCAAAGAGTAAGGTTTGCTTAGAATGTCCTTAGAGGATTTTAGATGAAAACAAAAATGCTATTTTTGGTGAAAGTGGTATATTTCGTTCTAGACGGAGATATATTTTATAAATGATTCTGCTAGAATTAATAATTACAGTTGTATTAACTGTTTAGTTATTTAATATTTATAAAATTTTCTCTAGACTAGTAAATTTTATTTAACAAATTAATTGAAAAAGCAGGACATGCGAATTAGTTTACTAATCATCTTACTTTGTACACTCTGTTTCGTTCCGTTAATCTATCAAAGATCGAATACATTCCGTTTAGCATGGACACAACTTCCATCGGTGAAATTCTGCTACAAATTTCAGTGAATGTAACGACATCAGAGAATAATATTGAAACGCTGTCGAACATCTGCAATAAATAGGAATTCGTCAAACGTTAAAAAAAGAAATGCCTTTTAAAATACCTCGCAAGTATCGATCGGGTTTTCCCCTTTCCTTAATCTATCCGCTACTTGCTTTGGTATCATTTGATACAATAATTCGTCTGTCCTCCTCATTTCTTCATCCAATTTTCGCATAGATTCCTCCAATTTTTTACTTTTCTGTTGTTCTTGATCTAAAGCTAATTTCAGTTCGACTGACTGTTGGGTTCCAGCCAACATCAGGTCTCTAACGAAAAAGTTATATTTAGAAGGATGGAGCAAAGAGAAATAATTAATTGACACCTTTTTGTATTTGATAGAGCGTAGAAGGAATTTAATACTGGGACTGACGGAACTAATTTTATGAAATATTGAAATACAGACGAAACTTAATTCGAGTTCAGTTGGCTGGATAAAGACGACGGCTTAGCAAAAAAACGATGTGAGAGGTCTGACATCTCTAAAACACTGTAATGCCTTAACTTTTCCAGAAAATGTTGTATGATATCAACAAGTAGGGATACGAAGTAGTTTATTATTGAGACTTTTCTCTAACAACCGCATTTTATTGTAATTTTCGAAGCGTATGAAACTGCATATCGTGTTATGATAAAGTTTGTTGCTAAAATAGGGGTAATACTAATGGGAAATCTTAAGGGGACGAATAATTCGTCGACTAAAAATGAGCGTTCAGGTGGAACCGTTAAAAGGAAGCTGTAAAATTTTGCATGGTTTTATGACAGATTATTGAATTACGATTACAAGTAAATTACCTAAATGAAAAGATATATCGAATTGTCATATGTTACACATTACATTTTTTTTTAAGACAGAAATCTAAAACAATGGTTACCATCGCGACGCTATATATGCATCATATTTGCAATGTACTAATCTCCCCTTCAACGTAAAAACGATGGCGTTTACAGAATTTCATTATCTCTGTCCTTTTTCAAGATATTAGCTAGCGGAATTTTAGCTGGAAAGCTATTCATATTTTAAAATAAAATTGCAATATCAATGATATGACAAAATTAAACTGTTTTCTCGATTTATGAGAATTTTGGTTTGAAATTTGTTACAAAAGTTTCTGCTTATTTTTACCTTCATAAAATTATTGTTTTTAAAAAATTATATTTTTTTACAGAAGCATGCAGTTTTTATCTTAAAAATGTTACAACAGCTAACTCCGAAGCATGAAAATTTAAAAAAACAAATAAATAAATCAATAAAATTATTATTTAAAAAAATTTCACTTTGTACAAGATTGTATCTTCTTCTTACTGAACTATTTAAATGTGCAATTAATTTGTTTCTTTTAGAACGTTAACTAACGCTACGTTAGAAAAATGACAGACATAATTTTGTTGTCATTCTTACAATAATTCAAATTGTTACTGAAACTGGTTTCACTGTAAGTTGATATCTTCAGTAATAAATGAGACATATTGCCTGTAGACCTGTATACTAAAAGTAGACGTGATGTAAATCTAGCAAACTAGGAAAATATAGCTATAATTTGTTACATGAGTATCAATAAGATCGATTTTGTAATTTTAGACCACAAAAGAAAATAAAGCGCTGGAAAAATTAATTAAGCGCGAAGATTAAGTATCCTGGGTATCTGTTATGGTAGTCATTTCCGCTAAGATAAAGTGTTCTATACTTTTATTGTTCGAAAATACGATTTTTCCCCAACCATTCAACTGTAAACGTCTTGACTGACTTGATCAACTCTTTTCAGGCGGAAGCAACTAGGGTTTCGGATAAGCAATTTATAAAATATAATATCCAGTTTACTGTTAGGAAAAATCAAGCTTCTCATTGAGTTCGTTAAGTATGAAAGTGGATTTTCAGATGTCATTTAAAAAAAATACAACGCGTACGTCCGGGATTCTGATTTAATACTCCTCCAAAGGACTGACGCTCGTAAGCTGACATAATCTTCTTAGAACACAGATTTTCAACAAAAATTGGATGTTAAGTTAATGTGATAAATTAACTGCCAATTTTGCAACATTAAAATGGAAGCAGAGTCCGCCTCTTTAATCCTCTTAAAATTTAATCCATACGTCCCAAACAGTATAACGGTCTCAGACCCAAAATTAGAGATAATTAAATTTCGGTTAACTTTATAACTTAAAATACAGGTATTTGATACATTTTAATATTTACGTTATTTCATATTTCTCTGTTCGTAGAGAAGGACGTGAGGTGAGTAACAAAGTTGAAACTGAATAATGTATTGCGAGGAAATGTCTGCTTTCCGCTTTGTTTCGTTCATGCAATGAACAGACAATTTAACAATCGCACATTCGCACCGAATTTACAACTTTTCGGAGTTCTTGAAGCGAGGAGCTACCAAATAAGGGTTTTTAATACACGCACTTACCTACTGAAGTCGTGCATAGAGAGATCATTAATATAGAGACCGGAATTGATGAGGGAATTCAAATCAGGCATTACGGGAGTTCCCAAATACATCATCATCTTCCAATTGTCCATGTAAATCATTTGTCCTGTGAAGCTCATCTGTTGAATTAGGTAAATTATGTGGTGAAAACAACATACCTTTAAGCCTCAAATTTCTATCTTCGTCTACGTCGAGTTCGTCGCTAAGTATCATTTCTTGTCTGCCTCTGTCAGGAGGTTTATCGTGTAAAACAGGCTCTACAGTTACTAGTTCAAAAATGTTGTTAGTACGATTCAAAATCTGGAAATTTTATCATAATATAATGTTATCCCACAATGATTTTTGGAAACGTAAATAATTTATCACTGTCTTTTCATTTATTGTTTTGTTGCTCTTATGTTTGCTGTAATATGCAAACAAACAGTAAAGTTCCCTTAGGAAAGTCTTTTAACAAGATCAACTTTAGCGTGAAAGAAATAATAAAAGAGAGGGAGAAAAGGCAGAGAGAGTTTTAGGAAATGAGAACAAGATACCGATTTTTGTGACTGCGATTTTGTACGTAGTAAGCTACAGTTCCGTTTATGTAATAAATGTACCTATCAGTATATTATTGTATACAGTATTCGACATGCCATATGTACTTTATTAGTAAAATATATGATTAAGATTATTATTAAAAACGAAAGTGATATCTGAAAATTATAACATTAAGAATTTTTTGCGAGCGGCAGGGGAGAGGAAGGCAAAGTAGAGAGGATGCAAATCGAGGAGCTGAAATTTTAAAATCCGACGAATTTTCTTGCTAGCAACAGAGAAACTGCTAAAATAATATTCCTGAGGAACCAAATTTAAGAAGGAATCCTAATTTTTGCTATTTTATGTATTTCGTTATTTTACATTGTAGTTTTGTAGGGAATTAAAAGAGTTAGATATTGGGGTTCATGTTATTTGGATAGCAGTAGATCAAACTAGAAATTCTAATGGGTAATACGTTCCAAACATTGTAGTGGCCAAAAATTATTTGAAGACGCACCAGGTACACCATTATTTCATTTTTACCGGCGATATTTGGAATATTTTCACAAATTCAGTAAAATGTTTAAAATTTCTAGAGTTGCGTAAATATTTGAAATTTCCAGAATTTCCAGATTTTCTAAATGTTATTAAAATATCAGTCTTCGGATATGCCAGAATTCAACACTTTCCTGAGTTTTCTAGATTTTTAGGTCTCCCAGATTTTTCACACTTTCTAGATATTTCCAGATTCTCTAAAATGAATAGACCCCAAGAGTCTTTAAACCGTTGAAACTTTCGGAATTTCTAGAATCTTTAGAATCTCTGAGACGTATTTAGAATTTTTATAATTTCTAGGAACATTAATATTTCCAAGATCTTTACAATTTTTAAGATTTTGTTGGATGTTTCTTCTATTTAGAACCTAAAACTTCGGTTTATTTAGCATCTTTGGTGTCTTTACAATTCGCAAATTCTAGTCTATGAAAACTTTAAGATTTTTAGAATGTGTCGAATCTTTAGAATTTTTGAAAGGTTTGAACCCTTTTAAGTATTTCAAACATTTGGAAACTTTGGAATTTATAGAATATCTACAATCTTAAGATATTGTAAACTTTTGAAATTTTGAGATTTAATATTTTTTATTTTTCAAAATTTCTAGTATGTTCAGATTTTCCAAATTAGTCTGAATTTTCAGATTTTCCAAAGAACATAAAATGATCCGAATTTTCCAAAATTTCTAAAATTATAAGGCTCCAGTTATACCGGAAATTTGAAATTCAACCATTTCCAATATTTTCAAGATTTCTAGGTCTACCACATCTTCCCCACACTTTCTAAATTTTTCAGATTTTCTAAAATTTATAGCTCTCAAGAGTCTAAATTTTTGGAATTTTTGGAATCTCTGGAATCTTTACAGTATCCAAGATTTACAAAATAAGATAATAATTAAGGTGTTCAAGGCCTTTAGTGCATTTTTCCGACCTTTACGATTTTTATGGCTTTAAGATTTTTGTTTTCTTTATAGTCTTTGGAATTTTTAAAATCTTTGTGATTTTAAGAGGTCACGCTATTTTTACAAGTTTTAGAATTTTTGGCTTTTTGGAATTTCTCTAGAACTTTTAGAATCTTTCAAGTATTCGAAACAGAATTTTAGCTTTTGACCCCTTAGAGTCCTTAGACTCTTTATACCCTTTACAGCCTTTCCAATCTATTGAAATTTTGAACACTTTGGACTCGTACGTTCTTTAAAATTTTTAAGATTTTGTTAGATCTTTTTTATATTTAGAAGATTTGAACTTTAGTTTATTTAGGATTTTAAGTGTCTTTACAGTTCGCAATTTCTAGTGTATGTTATCCGTGGAAGTTTTATACTTTTGGATCTTTCAAACCACTGGAAACTTTGGAATCTTCAGAATCTCTAGAATCTAGAATCACTAGAATTTCTATAATCTTTAGAGCTAGAATTTTAGATATTTTTAGATCTTTAGGATTTTAAAACTATGCAATCCGAACTGAACTTGAAAACATGCACCTACTTGCAAAAATGACGCAAGATCTTCTTTCTGTATTTTTTAAAAATTGTGATATTTCAATGCCCTGAATTAATTAACTAATTCTGGAAAAAAGTTGAAGTTATCGAAGAAATGAGGCCGAAAGTGATTTCTGCGCCCCGAAATCAACAAGAAAAAGATTTAGTTAAATTTAAAAAATCGTCGAAAATGGATCGAAATTTGCTAGTACTTGCCAAATAACCTACCCTCTAAGCAAATAAAAGGCCGGTGGGCCAGGCTAGTATTTGCCAAAATAAGACTCATCTTGATAAATGGCCTACTCTTCTAAGAAAAAGACTAGCCCCGCCCACTCACCCTTTATTTTCTTAGAAGAGTGGGTCATTTGCCAAAATTAGTCTTATTTTAACAAGTACTTTGTATACTAAGATTAAATTACTTATTAATTATTAATATTATTAAATAGTATTAACTAATATTACGGTTACTTTTGTAATCCTCCCCATTGTTAAAATATTTTGAGAAAACTAAAATAACTTGGAGAAAGTAGATCGGAACTGTAAAAATATGTGGATGTTGTGTTTAAAAAACTGAGTTGTACAGGGTGAATCACTAAGCGCGCGCTCCTCGACACCTCATTAAAGAAAAAAAGTTAAGAAGAAGGCTGTACAGTTCTTGAACGATCATACTCTTAAACTGCTTTCAACTATACAGAGTGTTCTGTTTTTAAGGAGTTAACTTAGCTTTTTCAAATGGAATACTCTATATACATGTTTCTAGATATTCTAGCTTACCTTGAATTAGGTTTTATAAGAATAATTTATTTGTGAAATTCGACGTTGCCACGTTATTTCAGTTTTTTGGAAATTTTTTAACAATTAAATTATATAATTTAATTGTTAAAAAAATTCATTTGAGCAAGGTGGATAAAACAATAAATAATTCTCAGTATTATAGTATTATTTTTTAACATCTTAATTACTTTATTCAGGACAAAAAGGGACAGATGTTGACAATAAAAAAAAAATAAGAAAACAGAAAAGCACAAGCGAAGAAAAATTTTGATTGAGAGAACTGGATTAAAAAATACCTTTAATTTAAAAGTTTGTAAAACAAATTACGCAAAATTAGACAACATATACCGAGAGTTGTCAGTATTGTGTGTCTGTATAAGAGTGATATAGAACTGTTCGAAAATCACTACGTTCCCATTCAACGATTTCGTTTTAGAGGGGTATCTCATATTCTGGATTTACACTCAATCTGGTTCACTGTCACACAAAAGACAGAAAAAAGTTTTCGTTTCATTAATCTTAAAAATTATTCTGTCTTTACCGAGATTTTTTGTTTGTGAAATAAAACAGGGAATAATAAGGACCGTTTAAGAAAAATTGAATTAATGATGCAAAAGTAGAAGCAAATAACTGTCAAGGAGATAACATTTTGAAGAAAGAAACAAAATGAAAGAATGAAAAACATACAAATAAGAAAGAGTTTGAACGAATGAACTGTAAAATACGAAGAAAAAACACAAAACTAAAAATAAGTCTGAAACATTTGGCTAATCTGGATCGTAGTAAGAAATCAATAATGTAGAAAAAGAATCTTTTCTCTTTCTTTCTTGCAAGGAAAAAGGTTTAATGTGACTGAAAAGTATACAGTAAATTAAAAATTTTAACTGAGTTCATTTTGTTATTGACTTTATCTTCATTTCGCCTTATTTATATTAAGTAGAATTTTAATCCACAGGGAATGAATCAATAGTTTCATGCATTTACGAGGACTGTATGATAACTACCCGTGTTTGAGGACTGTGGGTACCACTGACCCAAAATTTGTATGCCATGGTCTAATGCCATCTTTCAAACGAGGCTTGTCAAAATTTCAGTCAAATTGGTCAAGTAGTTTTGTTACAGCACTTATTGAAACTTGACAATTTTGTGTTTTTTGCAAAAATGGAAAAAGAGCAGTATAGATCTGTGATTCGATTTCTTTTTTTGGATGGGAAAACGTGTGAAGAAATCAAAATCAAGTTGCAGGTAGTTTATAAGGACCAAGCACCTTCGATGACTACCATCAGATATTGGTTCAACGAATTCAAAAGTGGCAGAACATCGGTTTTGGATGAAGAGCGCCCAGGTCGTCCGATTAAAGTAACTACTGAGGAAATGGTCAACAAAATCCACGATATTGTCTTAGCAGACCATCGGGTGAAGATCAGAGAGATTGCTGAGATTGCAAACATCTCAACCGAACGTGTGCACAACATTCTTCGAGAAAAACTGGGCATGAGAAAGCTATCGGCACGATGGGTGCCGCGTTTGCTCACAGTGGAGCAAAAACAAAATTGCGTTACAACTTCGGAACATTGCTTCAATATGTTTAAGCACAATTCGAAGGAGTTTCGAAGGCGTTACGTGAGTGTTGATGAAACGTGGATACACCACTAACTCCAGAGACCAAAGAACAGTCAAAACAAGGGACTCTACCCGGCGAACGTGCTCCAAAGAAAGCGAAAACGGTTTCTTCGGCCGGAAAAGTTATGGATACTGTTTTTTGGGATTCGCATGGCATCATTTTCATAGACTATTTGTAAAATGGCAAAACAATCACGGGGCAGTATTATGCTAGCCTATTGAGCCGATTAGATGCTGAATTAAAGATAAAACGGCCCCATTTGTCGAAAAAAAAGTCGTGTTTCACCATGATAACGCACCGGCTCACACGTCTGCAATTGCCATGGCAAAACTGGTTGAATTACGCTATGAATTACTGCTGCATTTTCCCTATTCGCCAGATTTAGCACCCTGTGACTTTTATCTATCTCCAAATCTAAAAAAATGGCTTGAAGGAAGGCGCTTTACTTCAAACGGCGAAGTAATCAATGAAACAGAGGCTTATTTTGCAGAGTTTGATAAATCATTTTTTTTGAATGGGTTAAAAAAGTTAGAATATCGCTGATCGAGGTGTATAGAGTTGAAAGGAGACTATGTTGAGAAATAAATATACAGAATTAAAAAAAAATGCTTTCTCTTTCTTAAAACGGGTACTTATCAAACAGTCCTCGTACATTTCCAAAAACCAAACCGTTACCAACGTACCGTTTGAAATTTGAAGGCTGTAAGTGGCCTAACGAGATCAAACCAATTGGTGATTTTTTTCCCCAATAAGTCAGGAAGAATTACCATTAGGGAATTTCCTATACTACGGACTACCATATCTGAACTGAAAAAAGAACCGTTCAAAGGTGTTTTCACACCAATCAACACATTATAAAGTTACAATTTACCCAAAAACGATACAAAATGGAAAAATCTCAAACAGAACAGAAGCACTAATCGGTAGATGCTTCTCTTCTCTCGTCATCGCCAGCGATGCCAGAGTAAAAGCTCTGTTGTCGAAAGTTAATTGAAAAGTTACATGAACCATGTCAAATAGAAGTTCTTCTCTCACCAGTTCAATCTTCATTTCTTTATGGTAAAAGTGTCTTGCTACCTGCAAAGAACTTCTTATGAACCGGCATTGTATTTAATTTCTTATTACTTCTTTAATTTGGCCCATGGTATAATATACAAAACCCCGTCTCTTGCTTCTGTAATGGAGCGTCAGTCCTTGTTTAGTTTCATTCTCGCAAATGAAACTCGGCGCCCTCATCCTGGGATAAGAGAACTTAAGATATTCATGCAGATTATCTAAACCGTTAAGAAAATCCCGCATGTGACGTCCTAGCACCGACAATACCCTGTCATAACCATACTGACTGACAAATCCGATGAAAAATACACCCATTTGCTCAAAGAAATCTTTTTCACTGACTTTTAATATCTGACGAGAAATTTGTTAAAAGTTTTTGTTAAGATATATATGCTTTTGTTACCTGTACAGCCTTTTTAGAAAGTCGAGGGATCAAACCCTCAGGATAGACCTGATGTGTGCTGAAGCTCGGTTGATCTACGGCTGCGGCTCGTCTTATCTCTTCCCATTTTTCCTCGCCGTAGGTTTGCTTTATGTACTCGGACATATTTTCCAGAATTAGGCCATACATGTTGCATTGATCTGGAAAAAAGATTGTAATGCAGCAAAAAATAATCATATTTTATTTAATATAACATAGCACAATCATACAATTTTATATAAATATTTTCCGTCGTTATATATTAAAAACACATGCATTTAGGTATAAAATTGTTACTTGTTTATCAGTTCAAGCTGTTGTTTTCCTCGGAAAAAGATTTTACGCAGTGTTAGAATTCGCTCAACTGTTGATACACATCGTTAGGATTGTAATGTAATACAAAGGCGACCTATCAAGATTTTCATTAAAATGTTCACTCAGGCGATAGTCATTATTACTAGAATTGTTTGACGTTTCAAAGATTGTAATATATGTCGGTCACCCCTTTCCATCTGTTTGTGGTCTGTTAGTCACTCTGTATGTGTCTCTTCGTCAAACTATGTTGTTGTTAAACGTCATATAGGTAGTAACCTTTTACAACCTATACGACGGTTAACTAACGTTTAACGTTCAATTAATCAGAATTTATAATTTAATGAAGCGATGATGTCAAAATTTTCTTAAGTAAATTGAAATTTACTTTGTAGTTTAATAATAATGCAACCAAACTTTACGCATAGATTTTACTTTAAAAATAACAACAGAATGATGTGATACCTTACAATTCGTTTACAACATTGATTTAATGGGTACAGAATGTGAGCTCAATTATTTCCAGGATTATGAAGTCACCCAAAAAAAAAATTAAATAGTATATTACGAATTTTTTAAAATTGCTTACATAAAATAAAACAAAAAATGATTTCTTTAGTAAAATAGCTTACCTAATTTTCTAATGTATGTATAATGTATCTATACATTCTATGTATCCGAATTAATACACTTGTTCCCACCTGATATAATATATAAACGTCGTTGTAGGACTGATTTGTTTGAAGCATCTAGTATTTCACTCTTTATAAACGTTAGACATATCAGTTTATATTTTTTCAAATTTGCTGGTGAAGGTTATTACAACATTCTTTAGTCACCATTAAAGTCATAAAGTTAAATAAAAAAATGAGAATTTACGTTATATGTTCAGCGTGTTTTGTGAAGGGCGTTTATAAATTAGGATTTTTACGAGTTATGTCAAATGCGTAAGCACTTTTACATCTACAAAAATTTGGTAAGTTGTTTATAATTTGTGTTTTTACAACATGGCAAAAGTCAAAGCCAGTTTATAATCATTTGTAGTTTTAGTATACACAAAGTGAGATTATCTAAATTTTCGCATTTTTTTTCCATTAGTGATACCTTGTAGTTTTTTCAAATTTCCAAGTATACGTATATTTACAACGTATTAATTACCATGAATGGACATACGAGAAGATTATTGTTTTTTTTTAAACTTCACCAATAAATCTGGTGAGATATCGTCAAAAACAACTGAATATGTACAACTAACGTTGACTAACATCGGGCGAGCAACATAATTTGTAATCGAGTCATTCCTGAAACTAAATATGTATGCATTCTCTAAAATGATTACGTCATAGAAAAGTTTTTAACAAAATAATTTTAATTGACGATAATTTTATAGACCTAATATCTGCAAAAGACATTCAAAATGGCAGATTTTTAACTTTGATTTCAATGAAAAAATTAGACTGGCACCTGAAAGGCTGAAATTTTATTTCATTTAAAAGTATACAAAATTTGAATTCGGGCACCGCCTATTACTAACTGACACTTCTGGAAAATTCCCGATTTCCATATGGTCCCATCCGCCCGCTGCCTGTGCCTGTCTTGTTTTTGAAGTACATAATTTGAAAGAATCTCAGGAATTGTTTGTGTATTGTTTTTGAAGCAATTTGAAAGAATCTCGTGCACCTCTTGTATTTTGTTTTTGAAGTAATTTGAAAGAATTTTGGGAACTCCTTTGTTTTGTTTTTGAAGTAATTAGAAAGAATCTCCAGAACTCCATGTTTTTGAAGTAATTTGAAACAATCCCGGAGTTCCGTGAGGGAAAAATTTAGACCGGCACCTGAAAGGCTCAAAGTATAAAAATTTATACCATGGCTAACGGTGCCTCTGAAAAATTCCCGATTTCATCCGTCCCTGATTGTTGCTGTGAATTTAACCACTGTCACATGAAACGTTCTTTCTAGCTTACTTTTTTGTTCTCTTGCTTATTGTTGCTTACTGGAGAAATAACATTTACTATGAAAAACAGTGCGCATTATACAAGATGTATAGTATAGCTAAAAAAAGCATTAAACACATTTTGTTGAGTTTATTTTTATTAATTGAAACCTCTGAAATGTATTGTAAACTACTGTAGGTAAAATTTACTCAACGCGTATACTGCCTAGCCTAGGGATTAATTATATTCAATGTAATCCTCCTTAAGATAATCTAACTGCTGTTACACATCAGCAAGAAATTTTAGAAGGTTTTATACCACAACTTTACGACAATGAAGTGGAAGGAGATTATGTTCAACACCACGGGACTGCAGCGCGTTCGACTAGAACTACAACCAGATCATTAGTCGAAATACAGAAAACCTCTGGCCCCAAAATATTGTGATCTTACCCTTAAAGACCTTTTTGTGGCCCTATTTAAAGAACATTATTTATCAAACACGTGTCAACTATTTGGAGGAATGAAGGTTGAGAATAATATTAGAAGAAATTAACGACATAAAAAATAATGCAGAAGAGATGTTAAGGCATGTAATCCACGAGCTTAAACAAACAGCTTGTAGGTTTAAAACAACAAATTGGCAACGTTTTCAGAATTTACTGTAGTTTATTTGATAAAATTAATTAATTTTGTGCCAATTTTCCTTGTAACTTCATACTTATTTTATTAAAAATCTTGTTCAAAAATATTTGCCATTGTTTTGTTATTGCTCCTCACCCGATAGTTATTTATGGATTGGTAAGTGAATAAGAAGAATCTTTTCCATCGATGTTATTTACTTCAGTGTACCATAAAGAACACTTAAACTTCTAAATACAATATCTATTATTTCTAATTTTCATAGATACCAGACACACATTTTACAAGGAACATTTGTTAAATAGTGAAATGGGTGAATTTTATTGGAAGGTCACTTAAAAACCTCGGAATTAACCGATGAAAACGAAGCTCGCAAATTTATTACCTAAAAGTCAAACTCAGTGTACGAAAAGAAATATGCCGTATTTTGTGAATGGAGGCCCCTGAATCATTAAATGGGGAACAGCGGCTGTACTACTGGCATATTTTTAGGAAAATTAACAAAGTGAAGGCTTATGGTATTCCACGTTAAAGTACTAGAATATTAAAAGTAGTATAGTTTAATGTTTAGTTAAGAAAAATAAGTTTTTTTGAATTCATTCCATTTGAAGTTTGCATTGAAGACAGTTTTAAAACATTTTTTTTTAACAGAAACCTCAATGTTGTTCGTGATTAAATAAAAACTCCTGTCTATGACTTGTTGTTAAAAACAGTAAAATTTTAGTAACAGATAAAATAAATATTTTATGACAAGGGTCGGATAAAACAATTAATTTCATACTGAGAAGATAATCTAATAAACTGAGAAGTATTAGATGATAACAGACAGTGAAACTCGTCCGGCAGATAATACCTGATCATTTGAAATGATTTGAAACACGATTATTTCTTTGTATATTTGCATCAATATTGCGTAAAATATTTATAGGTAAACTATTTTTATGTTATAGTATTTATTGCTATACATTTAAATTTACTTTATAAATAACCTGGAAAAGAAAATTTTGTTCTAACAAATATGAATACCAACTAAAATGGACGAGGTTTTTATGATGATAAAAATGTTATTGAATTTCTTATTATTTATTTTTATACATCGAGTTACTGACAGCGGCACCAAATAGATATATCATCTTTAACGGATAGATATGCTTGACTGACTCCCGTTCTAAATCAATTTTAGTGGTCTTAAACGTAGTTGAAAAATAATAGGTATTTTACCATTTCGTGGGACACGATGATGTTAACATTTAAACTATTGTTCCATTACCTCAATGCAACTATTTTTACTATTTCAGTATTTTATAGCGGTTTATTGGTAGTTCTAAAACGTAATGAAATTAAGTGAACCCATTCAAGTGGAACACAATTAAGTCTGTGTCATCTATTTGTAACAAAGTTTCGAAGTTAGGAGTTAGTTAGCACAGTTACATAATATGGTAACAAAATAAGACTAAAACCTAAATATTAGACATGTATAACACACAATTTATTTCCGTTAATGACTTAAATTCTATTTTATGTTAACAATGATTTATACTCAGTAATAGTTATTATTAGATAATAAATCTGTCAAAAAATTGAAGTAAAATCAGTACATATTGTGTAAGAATATAACTGCAACACTCCGAAATTAAGACAGCAGCAGAAAATCCTAATATTCTTCAGCAAATTTTAGTTATTCATTTTAACTAGTTACATTTGTCAGTTTTGTAATTTGCACTATAAAGTTTGTACAAAACAACGCTGTCAGTAGACCTAAGATTTTTTATACAAAACTTGGAAACGTATTTCTGTGTAAGAAAAACTTGTTGTCTTAGTAACTTCTGCTTCAGCAGTGATTGGTTTTATTGAAAAGGGTTGTCAGTTCCAGAGTTACACCATAATACGTTAGATCGCCACCCCATGCTGTTTAATTTTATTTAAAATTTGCTGCAGTGTTAAAGTTAGTAGCTTACCCATAAATAGGAATGTTCCACCTACACCTACATTAATAATAATTAAAGTGCTCGAAGAACGCTAATTGGTTAAAAAATAAATTACGAAGGGTGAATATCAGAAAAAAATCAGAGTACATTGTTAACCAGGACCCAATTTGCTACTCACATTAGATTTTAAACATTTATAGTAAAAATTTTGTTATTAGGCAACATGTAAAATATTTACAATTGAACTAGATAACAATCATTGTAGTTGAACTGGAATCCGCTAACTAATTTTAAGAGAGACAGGTGCAATAGGTTTAATTTTATTCATTATGCAAGAGCGAACATTG